GCCTTGTGCTCCATGAGGTAAAGGTGGTGTTATAAACTTATACCGAAATAGCTGGATTTTTCAAAGGATAATTTTTTTCCTGTGCTATCCTTTAAATGTATATCCTCCTACATAAGACTAATGTGTCGGGGCAGCTAGGTGGCGCAGTGGATAGAGTACCGGCCCTGAAGACAGGAGGACCTGAGTTCAAATTTGGCCTCAGACCAAACACTTGACATGTACTAGCTGTGTGACCCTGGGCAAGTCACTTAACCTCAACTGCCTTAAAAAAAAAAAAGATTAATGTGTCCATGGGCATCAAACCTATTGGCTTGGAGTTGAGCCAAGCTAGTGGAGTGGCCAAGCTTTGCCCTACAACTTCTCCAAAGAGATCTAGAAAATGCACCAGACCAAGTCCTCGTGAGGAAATCCAAGAAAAAAAAAGTCATTGAGCTCTTTTTCCAATCCAGATTGGCATAGAAAGACAGGTTTGTATACACTGAGAATAGGAATCAGCCAGAAATGACCACATGGAGCCTTTTAGTACAGGGAAAGGCTGTGCACTGGAGCAAAAAGAGGCCTAGATACAGCAGAAAGAGGCCTGTTTGTTCAGGGAGCAGCGATAGGGGCCAAGTGACAGCTCTTTTTCTCCCTATTCAGTTCTGGTTCACAGATCCAAAGGATACACCTGTGACCAGGGGTGGTGTTGCAGCTTAAGGTGGAGTCATGAGCCCAGGGCTGTGTACTGAGAAGCAAGTACAAAGGTCAGTAGCAACCATATGGCTCAGATTCCAGGAGTGGAGCAGGAGCTCAGTTCCAGCTTCCAGCCTAAGCCCAAAGGGGAACCCGCACTTCTGTCACTGAACCAACAGAGCTTTTCAGCAGGCTGATAGTGGCTGAGTCTAGCAACAGTCTGATGGAACTTCAACCAAGGCAATCCTCTTGGCACGTTGCTCAGAAATCAGACTGTGCCATGGATCAGAGCACTTGGGGGGCACTGGAACCTTACAGGTCCTCAGTATGGGCTATCCCAGAGATCCTAGGATATCTTAACAAGCAGCAGGACCAGCCCAGGCATTCCTTCCAGAAACGTGCTGAGCTTTGCCATAATAAAGTATGAACTTGAGAAATGAACAAAGAGAAAAAGAATCCCACCATGGTGACAAAGATGCGCAAGATACAAACCCAGAAGAAGAGCAAAGACTCAAAGAAAAACAAAAGTTGAGTACAAATTCAATGAACATTCGTGGAAGAAATGAAGGAAATTATTTTTTAAAAGTTTAAAAGAAAAAGTTTGTATAAATGAAAACACTACAGGAAAAAAACTGGAAAAGAAATAAGAGCTATGGAAGAAAGAACTGGAAAGGGAATTAACAGGTTGGCACAAGAGGTATAACAGCTTGCCAGAGCAATAAACTCCCTAAAAATGAGAACAGACCAAACAGAAGATAATCATTTCACGAGACAAAGTATCAAAAAGTGGGGCAGTTAGGTGGCACAGTAGATAGAGCACCGGCCCTGGAATCAGGAAGACCTGAGTTCAAATCCGGCCTCAGACACTTGACACTTACTAGCTGTGTGACCCTGGGCAAGACACTTAACCCCATTGCCTAGCCAAAAAATAAAATATATATTTAATATATACATATATTTTCTATATATAGAGAGAAAAGAAGCTAAATGACTGGAAAAGAAAAAAATATAATGTATCTCATAGAAAGAACTGACCTGCAAAATAGACCAAGAAAAGATAATTTAAGAATCACTGGCCTAGCTAAAGCTGACACATACAACACACAAAAACAAAACATCTAGGCATCATATTTCAAGAAATCATAGAACAAGACTGCCTAGATCTCCCAGAAGCAAGGGTGAGTGGAGTGCTGGAAATAAAGAGAACCTAGTGGTCACTTCCTGAAAGAAATTTCAAAATGAAAACTAGGAAAATTTATAACCAAAATCCAGAGCTTCAAAGTCAAAGGAAAAATACTGAAAACAGCCAGAAAGAATTCAAGCACCAAGGAGCCACAGTCAGGATTATGAGAGATTTAGCAGCCATCACAATACAGGAAAAGAGAGCTTGGAATACAATATTTCAGAAGGAACAAAGAATGATACCCAGGAGGATAAAAGAGTATGATCTTGGGCAAGAGGGGAAGAAGCAGGGTACTTTAATGAAAGAGGACTTTCAAGTATTGCTGTTGAAAAGCCAAAACTACACAGAAACTCTGAAATAAACACAAGAGAAACATAAAAAAGCAAACCTAAATGAATAATCATTAAGGATAAACTGCTTACATTCTAATATGGAGAGATGATGCATGTGTCTCCTCTGATAATCATCAGAGGTCACAGAGGAAATCTAATTACACAAAAGACCTAGGAATATTCGTTGTTTCGATTGAGGGAATGTGGGGGGGGGGAATGAAGAGGTGGGAAAGATTTTTATTTTTTTAAGAATAAAAGCTACTGACATGGCAGGTAAATTTTAATTCAATATAATTCAACAAATTTGTTTACATGTGTACTATACAAGGTGTACTATACACTGGGTGAGGGGAAATATCAAGACTAAAAAAATTATCTCCAAGAGTTAACTACCAGAATAGAACAAGAACTGTTAGGAGGGAAAGGGCAAGAATGACAAACAGTAACCTTATGGTGACATTGTTCATGTTTGTTAACATCCACAATACACTGTTATGATGAAACTCCTTGTAACATCAAAAAAAATCCGTGATGACATTATTGGATCAACATTGCTCATATAGAATTGCCCCTGTAATGCTGTTTCACCTAACACTTTGTTTTTGCCGGACCAATGAACAACATTCACAAGAATACATCTCCAAAATGTTAGGTATCAGTTTTGCTAGGGATTATTGTAGTTTATCTTCAAACAGATATTACTTTATTATTCTCTTCTTCAAGGAGTCCAACAATAGACTTTTATTTTCAGTGATAATGCTCTTCACATTTTCCTGCTATTAAACATGAAGAGCATTAGCTTTAAAAGGCCAAGGTCTTGCATTGCCTCCTGGGCCATCTCCAGTCATCCTGATCTGTATCTGGCCACTGGACCCAGATGGCTCCTGAGGAGAGAGTGAGGCTGGTGTCCTTGCACAGCCCTCCCTCACTTAAATCCAAGTCACCTGCATGTCACGGCATCACCTCCCAGATATCATGGTCCTCTTCGAGAACAAAGGACAAACATTCTGCATGTTAAGGAAAAAAATTTATTTTGAGAAATTGTCATTTCTCTAATAAATCTTCGGTGGTTCTCTATTACCTAATTTGTTCAAATTTATTGCCTGGCATTCAAGTTTCTCCACAGTCTGTAAGTACCCTCCTTTTTAACACACTCCTCCATAACTTCTACCCTCCAATCCAAGTAGACTCCTTTGCTTCTAGAAAACACCCTTTCCTTTCTGACCTTCCGTGACTTTCTTCAAGCTATTCCTGTCATTCTTTTCCTAGGAAATTCTACCCACCCTTTATATACTCTAATTCAAATAAAAAGCAGTAGCACTATTTAAGTAGTATTTAAGGTTTGCAAAGCACTTTATGGATATTTTCTTGTTAATCCCCACAATAAACCTGGGAGGCAGATACTATTATTATCCCCATTTTAGAGACAAGGAAACCATGGCAGAGGTTAAGTGACTTGCCTATGGTTATACAGAGAGTAGGTGTGTGTGGCCAGATTTGAACTCAAGTCTTGTTGTCTGCAGGTCCAACACTATCCACTACACCACCTAGCTGCCCAAACCATGAAGATCTGATTATCAATTTATAATGACCTTCCCTCTTTGGACCTCACATAACACTGTTTTGCACCTATTTTTTTGTTGCTGTTGTTTGTGCATTTTTTTCTACCTTCTAGATTATAGTAACTCTATCTTGGCTGTCCATGAAAAGTTCAGCAATGCCTTGCACAGAGCAGGTCCTTGATAACTGTTACCAATTTGGAAAATTAAACTTTAGGAGTGACATAGAGGCATAGGGAACTACAGTTAAAAGTTAAAAAGCTTAGGCACCATTCTATTTAGAGCTGGGTATGTTCCCTTTACATATATATACACTTCTGATTAGCTTAGTCTGGTTTCTTATAAATTCATCTGATATGAGCCAAGAAAGCACTGTCCTGTTTACCTACTTATATTTCCTTGTTTGTCTTAATGAGAGACGATCAGTTAACTAATTAAGAATATGATTGGAACACCAAAATTTCATTATACCATCAGAAGGTTCCCAAATGGCTAAAGTTGAGCCTAGGATCAGAAGAATCACAAGGTAATATATTGAGAAGAGCACTGAATCTAGATTAAGAGGATCTGGGTTCAACTGTAGACCCTGCCACTTGTTTTGTGTGACTGAGGAAATCCTAACTTGTCTGACTTCACTTCTCTTAGCTATAAAATGAGACGTTTGGACTGAATGATCTCTGAGGAACCTTCTAGCTCTAAATCTGTGAATGGACCAATGAGCTGCATATATATAGTTCAAGTGATCAAAACTCCCTAGAGATATTCCAGGAGACCATCTAATGAGTAGTTTTCAGCCTGGAAAGGATTAAAATTAAGCCTAAGAAATTTTAGATAAGAAATAGGTTAGAAAGCTCAGGCAACCATCAAAGACTTGGTAGCTTTCCTTTTTATACATATACTTCTAATTAGCTGACCAGGGTACAGAGCTTTAGAATTTGCATATTTTCATTTCCCTTGTAAATAAATCCTAAAATGTGATTCTGAGTATGTGGAGACAAATGATAAGGGGGAAAGAGGAAAGTGGGTGCTGAAAAAGTACCAATGAACAGTAGCATCTACAAAAGTAAGAGGGAAGTGGCAATTAGGGTTTTTTAAGTACAAACAGGTTTTGGGACCAAGGTACAGATAGGTCTTCTGGGCAGGGGGTACTCAGGAAGCAGACCCCAGTTCACCTGAAGGCCCAAGGCTAGGAGATCCTTCACACTATACACACTGTTGCAACCAAAGAATACAACAAGTAAAAATAACAAGAAATTCCTGAATCAGCAAAGAAACACAATTTATAGACAAAAGCCATTTCACAAAAAGGTTAAATGCAGAAAGACCATGAACATAAAATGCATTTAATACTCAAGAGGCCTCCCAAGGTGCCTTTAATATACATAAAACTCTGAGATAACAAGAAAAAATTGTCCCCAAATAAATACATAGTGTACCTCAAAACACGATTCTTGTAAATGTGTTTTGTAACAAAGGTCTCTTTTACCCCAAAGATATTTTCTCTCTAAATAGCATCTTTAAGGAAAGAAAGGGAGAGAACAGCAGAGAACACCAATTACAAAAAGATATTGCATCTCTAATGGAATCTCAGAGCCAAGTTTCTGAAAACACCGTAGTGTGAATGAGCAAAAAAAGTCTTTTCTCAACGATTATGGTAAATGATCCCTAGCTTTCTTGGTAATAACAGCACAGTTTGGTCCTGAATCTTGAGTAACATCTGTATTTTGGGTACCATTCTGTTGTTATTGCAGATGGTGCTGGGGGGAGCCTGAAGTACATTACAATTAAAATAAAACACAAGCTGTCCATGACAAGGTCACAAATTGGTAAATCTTCAGTTTTACATATGTGATTCCAATATAAAGTACCCATTATAATTGAAGGTCTGAGTTGACTCATTAGCATATTCACAAAATAAATAAAGCTTGGGTCTCTGAAAGGTTTTAAGCAGGTCTATTATGTGCCTTTTCATTTTCAAATGAAACTAGACACTAAATCTTCTTTATACAACTGAAAGCAGGTTGATTTACCAGAGCTTGCTGCATTGCAAATTTTGTCCTTGGAATCAAAGCACCACATTTTTTTGAGCACCAGCAATTAAAACTGCAAGATAATTTTAATTTTAACCATGTTTTCACTCAGAGTGATCTAAACAACACTCCTTTTGTCACTACCAAGAGACAGACTATTTAAATAGAATGTTAAACTCAAAGTCCTCATCGCCTTTTACATGTACACTGATCAGTCAACTCTGCCTTTCAGAAGTACAATTTTTCCAAAATTTTTTAAAAAATACATTATTTACAAGTCTGCCCTATTCCCCAGTTATATAGCTTGCACTATCCAGATAGTAAAATCAATGTTAGCATCATTCATAGTTAGTACTATGGAATATGGAATATGGAAAATCAAGTCCATAGAAAATCCATCAATCAAACAAATCCCATTATGGTCATAAATTTCAGCCTACCTCTAAATCTTCAGCCAATATTGCTCTTAAGTAGCAAAACAGTCTCTGCTCTGGAAAAGTTAGTTAAGGCTGGCAGAAGGCAGGCAGTAGGGGTTTTTTGTATGTGTCTACTTGTCAACTTCATTTAAGTTTGTAAAACCTGGAAAACTGGTAGTGGAAGTATAGGAAGTTTACTCACTTGGTTCTTCTTACTCTTGCCTGCCGTCAAATGATTAGCCAATGTTTAGATTTGAGCAGAAAATAAGCCACGTCAAGCAGCAGTAATGGAAAGAACACCGGACTGAGAGCTGGAAGACCTGGGTTTGGAATGCTGATTCTGCCAAGGACTCACCATGTGACGTTAGGCACATCTCTGAACCCCTCTGGGTTTTATCTCCTCATCTGTAAAATGGAGGAGTTATAAGAGCATCTCTAGGTGTCATTTTTAGCTTTAATATGCTCGAAGTTAATAAAGGCCGTACACCACTTGTTTCTTTAAGTTTCTTCAATTCTGAGGAACTGCCATCTGTGACAGGGGCTGATTAGATATTGACCACCTGGTGTCTACTCAAAGGACTGACTAGTTATCATCTCTCTGCATAAACATCACTGAAAGTTCACATGTCTGTGCTTCTGTGGTTATTAATATGTATAATGTGTCTTTTAGAAAAGTCTATTGTACTAAAGTATAATTCTTACAAATCTTCAAACCTCATATGCTTTTCCCAGGACCACATGTACTTTACCGCCCAAAACAAAAATAATTTCAAAAAATCCTTAACACCATTTTTAACCGAATTCCACAGTCAAATCATTTTCCTGATTGCGTGAAATGCATTTAGGATGTTTCTCTGTGAGGGCTAACTGTCCCACTCTGACCCCAGGCCAACATGCTTGGTGCAGTGTATCTCTCCACATTGAGCAGGCAGGGGTGGTGTTTCCTGTATTTGGATAATTCAACGTTCTGTGCACTTAATCTTACCTACCTTCTTCTTTGTAAAGAAGAGGTTGGACTATATGAATCGCCTTCCAGTCCTAACTAATTCCTCTATAAAACCTGGATTTTTCAAAATAGGTGTCTACACAAATAATTTAAAGAAACATTAGTAAAGTTTTATTCAGTAATCTGTGTGCATCCATTTCTAAACACCAAGGGAAAAGTATAAAACCTTACAAAAGCATTAACATAAGACAGTGGGGACTTTCTACAATTAAAAAAAAATCTACAAAACTTATTCATTCCACTATGGAATTTTTCATGGAGTAACTTTTAACCGTGAAAGTATTTCATTAACAAAACTGTTATTTTGTGATACCACTTCAGCCTTCAGTTGTTTTAATTTGGTTCTGATGCCTTCCTCAGACATTTCTGCAAAAGGCAATTCCTTTACCTTGGCCAGAAATGCCTGAATTATTTTTTCACCTTGCTGGAAAAAAAAAAAAAAAGAACACACAATTAGGCTTTAAAATATCTTCTCCAAATTCATAAATTGTGTTTTGCTGAAATGTAATACCAAACACTCTACTCAATTCCTACAGAAAATGCATGCTGGTAACTAGCACAGTTATCAAAGGCCACTTAATGAGCTCAGTATCTTCAGGTTAAAGGCACATTTCAAAAGCAATTATAACCCACCTGTGGCCCAGTAACTACATTTTTAGCAGTTTCACAGCAAAGAAGTATTGTGAGAGGAGAACTGGTTGGGAGTTGGAGAATCTGAGAATCCCAAATGTGTCATTTGCTACCTGGCACAAATCACTTCACCAGCTAAATCCATGACCCCTAATGAAGCACATTAATGCAAGAGAAGGAGACTATTTCCATTTCTTTATCTACAGGAAGTAAAGAGCCCAAGCAATTACTGAAGAAAATAAAAAGTGCCTTCTTTCACAAAGGAACAAAATACTGCTGATGCACTGAATCGGAGGAGCAAGGTACCAGGTGAGAGAAAAGAAACATCAGCTACATCCATTCCACACCACTCCTATCACTAGTAAAAGCAGAGTGTTTGAAAAGCCTTTCAATTAACCAGAACATTCAGATTTAGCTACATAGCACATCAGTACAGACAATATCCAAAGTCTCTATCTCTTATCTCTCTCATTCTAATATGAAGAATTCTGATATATATCATGTTCCTATCTATAGAAACAAAGTCATAAATCTGAATATAATGGCCGGAATTTTAATTCTAAAGTAATACTCTATGACATCACCAATTAACATCTGAACATGTAAGAATAAAACTTAGTGGGCAAAAACTAAAATTGTTCCAAATGAATGGATGTCACAATATTATGTTTTTAATTTAGCTGAAAACTAAAGCTATTCCTTGCATTTATTTTCATTATTAGTTTACTCTAAAAGATGATACAGTGGTTCTCAAAGTGTGGTCTAGGGGATGCTAAGAATCCCTGAGAATCTTTCAGGAGATCTACCAGGTCAAAAATATTTCCATAATAATATCAAAGCATTTTAATTTCTAAAATGGTAGATAACAAGAAATACAACCCAGATAAACAAAAGCTCTCTGGGTCTTTGATATTTTTTTTTTAAGAGTGGAAAGAAGTTGTAAGAACAAAAAATTTGACAACCACTGGGTAACTCAATTGTACTCTTCTTTTCAGTGTGTGTATGTGTGTGTTTCCATTCATGGAGCTTGGAATACTCGGCCATATTCCTTTCTATCTAAATTCTTCTCATCCTTTAAGGTCTAGCTCAAGATCAACCTCTTCTCCATGAAGACGATGCTGTCATCACTTTCTTTTCTAAGTTATTATGTCTACTAAATTAGTACATCTGTTGGATCCTCCACTGAAGATATACTAGAACATCTCTCAATGGGGCACACAGATAACCCCTGGATTCTCTAAGGTCGTATTAATAGGTATAGTCTGACAGGGTCTGTCACAACGGCACAGTTTCAAGTACTGGCCTGGCAACAAACAGATCATCACTCCACCTACATTCAAAAAAGCTTATTATCACCAAAAGGTGCATATTTTTGTAAGCCTCTCTACTAAAGTATGGAGGGATTACACCCTATGTTGGTAAAGGAAGTATACCATTGGATGAAATTACAACGTTTACAATGCTATCTATTCCTTAGGGCAGTTTTGTTTCCTCACCTAGAGATGATCAGCACCTTGGAGGAAAGCACCCTGATTTAGTCCTCTTTAAGCACCTTCACCAGTGCCCTAGGTAGAGGTCAGCCTCAGGCACCTGTGCGGCTAACATGAATGGTCCAACCCCCTTCTCACATCACTTCCCCATGACCGTGCGTTTATTTTGTGCAGATTTCATAGGTACTTTTTTATATACACGATGATTCCCTCCAAAGAATGTAACAGGTTGTTTCATTCTTACTTTGGATCACTAGCACCCTGCACACAAAAGCTACTTAATAATGCTTGCTTAATTGATCTGTAGCATTCATTTCCTAACATTTATCTAGCTCACACTTAGATTAATGCAAGTGTACCACATTTCTCCATTTCTGAAGTTTTCTTCTTTGTTTCTTCTGAACACATAAAGACATATGAGAAGGAGAAAGGTAGGACTGCCCTTTCCTGAGGGGCTCCAGCCCTGCGCACTTTACTCCGGACTTGCACACTGTCTCACAAGCAGCCTTGCCCAAATGTGTACTCTCCTCTCCCCAGGCCACTTTTCCATCTCCCCCATTAGAACTCAAGTTGCCTGAAGACTGAGACTGTCTTTCATGTTTGTTTGTTTCTTTCATGTCTCCTCAGTTCTTAGCACATAGTGAAGCGCTTAATAAATACTTGATCTATTGTTATATATAGCAGATTCTATAGAAGCTTATTCACTGAAATACCTCATAATGGAAATAATCATGCATTCTGGGGTGGTAATATGGTGACTGTGATGAATTTCATTATGCAGTTAGTCTTAGCTTAAATAACTATATCTACAAATGGACAAACCTCTCTCTCGTGGTAGCATCTCTTGGCTGCTGGTTCTGCTTCATCAGATTCTTGAGGTTTTCCAAAATGCTGGAATTCCTCTAGTTCCAGAGCCTTTTGTTTGGCATTCTCTATTACATGCTTAGGAAAATTAGCAAGCTCCGCAACATGAATCCCAAAACTCTGATCACAGACACCTGCAAGAAATCAGAGGGGTAAAACAGCATCTTACAGAACTGGAATTAATCCTTCTTCACGGAGCATCAGAAAATCTAACTATACATTAAAAAATGCTTGGCAAATGATTCTGACCAAAATAAAAATGAGCTTTTAATTAAGCCTCCACTAGAAGGCACAGGTGATCATGACTTTGCATTCATATCACCCTTGAAAACTATTAATCAGAGGATAAGAAACACCACCAAAATACCAAATCTTTTCTTGAGCACTGTCTCTGCACTAAGTAAACAACCAGAGAAAAGAGCCGACTTGCATTAATCCAACCAATGTTCCTATGAAACACTTTATGAAGACTAGTTGTAGCATCTTCATGTCAAGGAGGAGAAAACTGAAATACCGAGCTGAATAAATTACTGGTCCATGTCATTAGTCTGGGAAAGAAAGAGCATAGCAGGTGAAGAAGGCAGTGGACTTGAATCAGCAAGACCTGGGTTAAAGTTCCACCAAAGAAAATCACTATGTTACTGTGGGCACATGTCATTTAACCTTCTCGTACCACTTTACTCATCCACGGGGTGAAGGGTGAGAAGTACCACGGGGGAGAGACAGGGTTGGAATCTACAGCCTTCAAGTCTCCTCCAAGCTCTAAATCCATGATCTCCTTTCAAATACTACTTTATCTTCTAATACTGATACACAGAAAAATTAAGCATATAGCTTCAAAAGCCTCAGGGGCTCAACTAGATGACTGATTAGTTTTGAGAATGGAAGCTGCCTGCCCTAGTCATTATCATCATCATTACAAAATGACACCTAATGGGCTCATTCAAAATCAATGCCTATCTTCTGGATATAATAGTGAACATTCTACTAAGCCCTGCTCTGATGCCTCATGATGGCACAGAAGTAACCCTGAAAGCTATGCCAATGGAGTGTAAAACTTGGTTTCTTCTGTCAAGCTGTCTTAGGGTACAGTACATCTCACTGACAGAAAGGACAATCCAGTATAATACACAGGTTCATCACAACAGATGAACAATTTGTAAATTATTGGCCAATACAAACCATGAAACAAAGAATGATAAAAAATGCCCCTCAGAATGTGCAACCCCCTTTTACTTCTAATAACAGGCCAGAGGATATCAAGAATCATCATTTTCTTTTTTTTTCCTTTTCTTTCTTTTTTTTTTTAAGGCAGTTGGGGTTAAGTGACTTGCTCAGGGTCACACAGCTAGTAAGTGGCAAGTGTTTGGTCTGAGGCCAAATTTGAACTCAGGTCCTCCTGACTTCAGGGCCAGTGCTCTGTCCACTGTGCCACCTAGCTGCCCCCAAGAACCACCATTTTCAACAGAAAGGTATAGATAATATAAGACCCATGCCTGTTTTCTGAAAATATAAAAAGTATTTGACTCAACAGGGCAAAACAGTCTTAAAAGTTCTCTAACAAGGAATCCAGCAATTAGACTGTGAGAATTCTTAATAAATGCAAGGGCAGTGATAACTTTCTTCAATGACAATTTTAATACAGTCTCAAGGTATAAAATAGGGAGACATGCTTGCCAAAGGTTCAGCATTGTCATGGAGAATGACTTGAATGGAATCGAAATGGGAAGAGGGATTTTTTATTGATGAAGGCCTCCAGACACTCCTACTTATGTGCTGATGACAGAATGAACTCCAGAAAGAACATTATAGGGTTTCCTCAATGAGATCCATGATTAATCAAAAGAAACAGACCCAACAAACTATAAAGGAAAAACCAAAAGAAGGAAAAATGCCTATGACATTACAGTTGGGCAATGTCATGGGCATTTTTCATCAGTCTATATACTATATACCTAGGAAAGGAGCCAGAGATAGACAAAGGACCCAGAAAGGGATAGGAGAGTAGGCTAAACTGCACAGTATTTTTTCAATGACCTCAAGATGCTCCCCAACACAAAAAACTGATCTCGTTAATATCACTATTCACTCCAGGTGATGCTATATGGCTAAAAATCATAAAACACCCCAATCTCCAAGGAATCAAAGTAGTGAGTGATCCAAATAGCAATGGAGATATGCATGGTGGGTGCAAGTAGGCTGCAATATATTTTTAAGCATCACTAATGCACAAGAATGATATAAAGGATATCATCCAGGAAATACAGGACTACAAAAGGAGATGGGTGAGTCATATAGTGAAAGAGAGGGATAACAATGAAACGAGCCTAGAGGAAAGCTTCCAGTATACCACACAGATTCTCTTTGGATGACTTATGGAAGAACAAAGATCACATAGCATAACAAGGCATGGATGAGTTTCAATCTGGAATGATGGAAGAAATACCTGTATCAATGAGATCTTCGCTTCTTTGAGGTACCACAGTATAATAGTGACAAGTAAAATCATCACTTGCCATTTTCACCAAGTCTTGTTTTGGAAAGGCTGTTTTCTAGCATTTTGAACTAACATTTTTGTGCTCCTCAGACACAATGTAATTTGATTTAAATTCCTAACAGACCATACTACCCAATTCACACTCAAGTCAAACGCCAACAAAAAATACATGTAATTATGTCAACAATATCAATTCAAGCACAGTCACTCATAAGGGTCACGTATGAAGCACAAGTCACAACAATAACGGGGAAAATGTTGATGATCTATCTTCCTTACTGGCTTGTAAATGACCAATAAAGAAATATAATGGACTATAATAATAATAATAATAATAATAATAATAATAATATGGCTATCTGATGGAACAGCTTGTAAAAGTAGTTACTGTGATGACTAGTGAATAGCTTTAAAGTATAACCTGGAGTATTAACTTCATCAATGATTCTGGTGATCTTATTAGGTAATATCTACATCAGAGATGACAACTTTTACTGAAGGAATAGCATACACAGGGCAAGTTATTCACTATAGGGGCAAAATAATTTCAGACATTTCTTTCTCTCTGCAGCTAGAAATGAATCAAAGAATGTTAAAAGATCATGGAAATAAAAATTTTACTACAGAAGAGCAGCTCTCAGCATCTGAAATTGATGGTACAATAATAACTGTGTTAATCAATATGTAATTCAAATGAAAACTTGAAATTCACTTAAATTCAATAAGCAGTTAAGTGCTTACTATACACCAACATTAGCTGGTATACAGTAAGCCCCAGCAATACAAAGCCAAAACCAAAATGGCCTATCTTCAAGGATCTTACAGTCTACTAGGAATACACTGGTAAGAGAGGTTGTAGAACAATCTCTGATGGCTGAAAAGTGGTCTCATCTTAATTATATTTTGGGGGACATTTGGGAAATTCTTGCCTGGACACAGAGGTTGAGTAGATAAATTACCGCTCTGCCAAGTCCTCTTTTCATTATTTTCCATTAATCCTATACCCAGTGTTTAGAACAATGCCTAGCACATAGTAGGTGCCTGATAAATGTTTACTGACTACTCCAAAACAATTCAACATCACATTTTCCTGAGAAGACAAGACAGTTCCTGATGAGCTCATAGGTAGTCATCCCCCCTGGTCACACAGGACATACAACAGCTTTGGCATCGACATTACTACAATCTTACCTTTCTTCACTTGATATAGCATAGTTAATGTCTCATCAGTAGTTAATGCTGAAACGTGCAGATTATTCACTGTTGGCAACTGGTCAGCCAATGCTGTCAGTTCATGAAAATGAGTAGCAAACATACAGAAGGCACCTATCTTTGTAGCAATATACTCCGAAATAGCCCAGGCTAACCCAAATCCATCATAGGTAGAAGTTCCTCTTCCCAACTCATCGATGATTATCAGGGAATCTTTGGTTGCAGACCTAAAAAATAGAATTATATTAAGCTTTTCCATAATATAGTTTTATCAAGGTTAATACTTCTAAGTGAAAGACACAGTTGGGGACACAAAGAAGCATTATGATATCTGCCCACAAGAAACTTACCATCTAGTTGTGGAGACATGATACATCAACACATAAAAATTAAGAGTTAAGACAACGGAAGTGTCAAGACAGCATATAGTTCACTGCCAAATGAAAGGCACAGAAAATAACTTGTGAAGGCAGCTCAGAGAAAACAGATGCAACTTGAAGTTAGGATTATTAAAAACTAAAACTCTCCTACAAGTGATAAGACCTAAGCTGGGTCTTAAGAAATAGGTAGAATCTGGACAGCTAGAGAGAACAAGGAGAAGACATTCCAGGTAGACAGGTCATCAAGATTAAGACACAGCAGTGAGAAAACACACAGTGAAACAATAACTGGCATGTCACTGAAAGCCAATATGAGAGAGTCTGACACTCACCACAAACCACTAAACGCATTTTCATAACTATTATGCTGTCACAATAATAAAGATCGAAGAACACATTCTTAAAAATATATAAAAGATTCAGAGTTACTGGATAAAATAAATTCTGACAGCTATTTGAAGCTGTACCTTCAAAGAGGGTTTTTAAATAGATGGGTGTGAGTACATTTATGGGGAAATAAACCTTTATTCTTAATTGGGAGAGAAGACAGAGCAGGCAAGAGGGGAAGAGGTACCTCAAGTTCTGCCATATATGCAGAGACACAGAGAAGTCAGAGACAGAACATAAATCTATTTCAAGCTATTTGTTTCACTTTTCCATGAGTCAGTAACAGCAATCTAGTATCAAGGTTTCCTTTAAAAAACCCTCAAACTCCTCTGAGCTGAACTAAGGGCAGAGGATATTGTATAAGTCTTTGAGGCAGGAGAACAGGGACCAAGTATAGTATCTGAGGTGAATGCTCAGGACAAGGGGACCCAGGAGAGAGCTAAACTTTGTTTCCTTTATGCCTGTGGTATTCCCTCACAATATTTCCATCTTTAAAAAAAATTTAAAAATCAGAACCAGAACTTCTTTACCTGAGAATAGAAGCTGTCTCTAGCATTTCTGCCATGAATGTAGACACACCTTTCAGCTGACAATCCCCTGCTCCAACTCGAGCCAAGATACAGTCCACAATGGACACTTCTGCTGAGTCACATGGTACAAAACAGCCAATTTGAGCCATCAGAACTATTACTCCAGTTTGACGAATATATGTTGATTTACCTCCCATATTGGGGCCTGAAACATTAAAAGTGAAACACAGTGCTTATGTCCTGCTGCTAATACACAGAACATATTAAGAATCCAAAAATAAGGATAACTGAAAACTGCAGGGAGATGATACACAGAAGTCAGGCTGACTGGGAATTCTAGCTGTACAAGTAAATGCCAGCCAATTCCAACTTCTCTGCTCTTAGGGCAATATTGTGCAATGTGTCATCATCTGAAAGATTTAAAGAATTTTGTCTCACTAGAGACAGTACTCTACAATTTAGCTAGTCTAGAAAGTCACACGGAATTTATCTAACATTTTTAAAATGTACAGACTGAACAGAGAAGCAGTAATTACAGACGGAGGATAACTAAAGAATGTTCTTTATGCAAATGGATACACGAGGACCCACTACTTCAAAATATATAGGAAATCGACAGACCTGAATGCAACAAGAGAACATAAGACCCAAAACAACTACTGAAACCATGCATTTTTCTTTGAAAACTAATAGACTAGGAGAGATGTCCGAAGACTGGAGAAGAAGATGTGACACCTCAATTTCAAATGAGATTACTTTTATGTACCAGAATCTATCATTAAGAGGCCTGCTTGTTGCAATTCTTAATTAAAATGACAAATCAAGGAAACACTGAACACAGAGCTGAATTTCAATAACACATTTGACAAAGACTCTCCCATTCATCTTGTGGAGAGGTATGGTCTTTATGAATGTGAAACTGGTTTAATGACCGACCCCAAAGAACAGCCATAAGGAGTCAGGCATTTTGGGGAAAGGTGTCTGGAGTGCCCCAAGACTTGTGTCCTAGATGCTGCTCAATCCTTTAACAGTGATTTGACAGCATGCTTATCATTTGCTATGATATAAAGTTGGAAGGGAAAACTAACATCTTGGGTAACCAAATCACTAGTTCATAAAAATGCTCTTAGGTCAAAGGCATGGAATTTTTAAATACTTGAACATCCTGAAACAAGAATTCTACAGGAAAGCAAAATATTTTCTTACAAACTTCTAAAATAGTATTTCAAGACAACAATAAACAATATGCTCTTGTTCAAATGTCAAGAACTATAATTTTCTTAATACTTAACTTTCCAAAGAAATGTTTTAAATGAATGCTTTTTATTTTTAAAAAAAAACTGAAAAGTAATGCAACTTTTTACCAGTAATAATGTGGAACATCTGCTTATTTTTCTCAAAGTAAATGTCATTGGGAATAAATGCAACTTCATCTTGAACTTCAACACAAGCATGTCTGGAACCTTTCAAAATGATTTTTCCTTGTCCCTTTTCCAAAATGACTGGACGTACGTATGGAACAGGTGCGCCATTTGATACATGAGCAAAACTGACAACTGCATCTAGTTGAGCTAATACATCATTCAGTGTCTGCATTGGTTCTACATAGCCTGTATAATAAAAAAACAAACATTCCCCCCAAAAAAATGTTTAATCATAAATATAGAACATGACAGCAAAGCAAGTAAAGAAATATAATTGTCCCAATCTGAGTTCAATTTGTATTTCTAAATTTATATACATTATCTAAATAAAGTATAAACTAATCAACTCTCCTATTTACTAGAATGGAACTTTATTTTTAAAAAAGCCTAAAAATCAATTTGAAATGAAAAACTAAACTTATCTGTTGCCCACTTAAGGAAAGATCTCTCTCTCTCTCTCTCTCCCTCTCTCTCTCTCTCCCTCCCTCCCTCCCCCCTCCCTCCCTCCTCTCTGTCTCTTTCAGAACATATTTCAAAACATTAAAAAATTTTTGGTGATTACTGTTGCATGCCTGGATCCAGGATATGTCATCAATTTGAGCACTCCTTCTGATTCAAACAACAAACATGTATAACAATAAATATGCTGGAGATAAAAAAGTGAAAAATATAATCACCACCTTTACCTCCTATTATTGTTGTGAGATAAATGTACAAAGATAAGTACAGTAATATATGGCAAAGTGTATTGAGGCATAAGGTGTATTGAGGCCTAAGAGTCCAATCTCTAGGAAAATCTAAAGAGAGAAAAATCATTTTGAGGTAGAGGAATAATAAGAGAAGACTTCATAGATGTCTGAGCTCTGTCTGTGAGGAAGAAAACTTTGACAGAAGCAAGATGGAAGGGAAAAGAGTGTCTTCCAAGCACTGGGAGGCAGAAGGAGAGAAGGAAGAGGGAGGGAAGGGAGAGAAAAGGGGGGAAAGAAGGGGAGGGTAGAGAAGAGAGAAGGAAGAGGAAGGACATTAAAGTCCTGAGAGTCAAACCCTCTTCATTTTACAAATGAAGAAACTGAAGTTTTTTGAGGAAATAGGAGGCCACATGATTTGCTCCCAGACAGCCAGGTGGTGGTACTGCAACCAGAAGACCGGAAGCCAGGTCTTTCTGACTCCAAGTCTAGCCGCCTCTAACTGGTAGGGCAAAGAGACCATTAAGCATGTTTTAATGCTTTCAAAACGAATAAAAAAACTTTGATTGGATAATGGCTAACAAACTATAGCACATTAATGTAGTGGAATATTATTGTACCACAAAATAAAATACGAAGGATTTTGAGAAGCCCAGGAAAACAACATCACAGTGACTATAGCAATGTACAAAGAAAGAACAACAAAAGAGAGAAATGCAATATTACATAATTATAAGAAATGATACGAAAATATCTACCTCAAAGAAGATATAAGAAAGTATCTACTTCCCTCCCTTTTTTGTAGAGGTATAACATGCTGCAAAAATGAACAGACTTAGTTGCTGTGTTGACAAGTTTTACTGAAATGCTTCTTCTAATCTTTGTTAGAAAGGATAGCCCTCCATACAGGGATGGAAGAGGGAGATATTTCAAAGTAAACATTTAAAAACCAAAGATATCAATTAAAAATTGAAGAAAAAAAGAAGTATATACAGTTAAGACCATGAAAATACTTTCTTAAACATAATAAAACTTGCAGTTATTTATAATGAAAATAAACAAGAGTATCCAAAGTCAACACTCAATAAAAATCTGTTAATTTAACTTTTTAGAGAGACCCCAAGTACTACCTACATAGGCTTAATACAGGAAGGTCAAAATACAAGAAATAATCCTGCTAGAAACTCACTATGTAATAAACTAAATGTCTATTTAATGACACTTAAAATGTATCTTTTCAAATAAGTCATTTTCACAGCCATAAATAAAGCATTTCAAAGGGAATAACAATTAGCATGTCGTCCCTTTTCCTTCCTTTCACTATTTGTTTATTGAAAAAGTTCCTATTTGCCTTTTTAGAATATTCAATAAAAGTTAAATTCTTAAGGCTGGATGGGACAGGCAGGGATAGTGTATATAATTCTGCTGTTTAGCATGACATTCAAATATTAATGACAGATCCCAACTGATGACACTTTCCTTAATTACAAAGTAACCATAACTTCGAACTTAATCATCAAAGCTTTGGTGAATCTTCAAATCTTCAGCTCAAAAGCCTTGTAGAATAGTACATATGGCTGAAAAAATGTTTTCCCTTTTATGTAAATGACACATAGATTTCAGCTCTATATTACCTTTGCAACATTAAAAAGGGCTGGAGTTTGGCTATATAAACTCAAGGTGGATAGTATCTGCTACAGAGTGGCTCTCAAGACCATTCATGTCTATGGAGTTCCTTACAACAACCTCTCGAGGAGGATTGCGCAAGTGTTGCCATACCCTCCACTTTAAAAACAAGACAACGAAAGGCCTAGAGGTCATGGTACCTCCTCCAGGCTTAATCTGCCGGCTTAGCTGGGACTGGTACCAAGTCCAAGAATTACAGCTTTAAACATTGCCTCTGATGTGGGTGGCTTCAAGATTCCTATTCCGCTACAGATGTGGTATCATCAATGTGGACAATCCTCCAATGTGCACATCACCAATCTATCTGTGCCACTCATGATATGGGACACTTGTTCAAGGCCTTTCCTATATTTGAGGCAGGGACTTAACCCGATGTGCTGAGGGATGGTCTTGCTTTTCTCCTAATTTCCAGGAGATGGCATGTGAACACAAAGACTTTCTACTGATTATCTTTGTTCTCATAATTATGCTTTTGATGTATGTACAGATTATTATTAAAAAGTTTTTTGTGGGACTGTAATGTAGGCAGATAAAATTCCCTCTTTCACCTTTTTCCCCACTTGTTTTACAAAAGCCCGCAATTTTTCTACATACTTTCCAGTTTTCTCCTACAAATATTCTCGGTTTCAAGTGAATAATCTACTGAAAAGGAAGCCGCCTAAAAGTCAATTTTATCTAAAACTTCTCTCCAAGCTAATTTTAGGATTTTCTAAAAGTTTCATTTTCTTCTTACTAATACGTACCACAAACTAAATAGTTACTGTGTAATTCAGTTATAAAAACTTCTCTTTGTACATAAAACTGAAATTTCTCCTGCTAAAGGAAACTGTGTTATATTCAAACAATTACAGGTATTGCTTTGGTTATATTTACCGGAAGAAATGTTGACAATTTCTTTAACAATGGCATCCTGGGCTTCCTCATACTCATCTCTAATTTTGAGGTACTCATCATTGTAGGCAGCCAATTTGCTGGAAATGAAAATTTGAAAACTGTGAAAAATTTTAAATTATCTTTTAATAATTGCATTAATCATTATAATCGCAATAAAGTTTGCCCAATTCAAGGACAGAAATATGGTCTAAGAAGACTGGAAAAGTAGGAAGGGACCAGGGCATAAAGGACTTTGGCAACATGCACAGACCTTGACTTTAGAAACATCACCTTAACAGTTATGTGGAGGATTGGAGCAGGGAAAAACTTTAGGCAGGGAGAACAATTAGAAGATAATCACTTCATGAGACAAAAAGAAGTATTAAAATAAAATCAAAAGACTGAAAAAATATTAGAAAATGTAATGTACCTCATAGAAAGAAGTGACCTAAAAAATAGCTCAAGGAAAGATAATTTAAAAATCACTGGACTAGTTGAAAGGTCATGACTAAAAGAGTCCAGGCATCAAATTTCAAGAAATCATAAAAGAAAATTACACAGATCTCTTAGACAAAGTAGAAATAGAAAAAAATCTCTGGTCATCATCTCCTGAAAGAAGCCCTCAACTGAAAACTCCTAGGAGCATGACAGCCAAACAAGGAAGGGATGGAGGGAATGGTTAATACTTGAGCCTCACTCGCACTGGCACTGGTCAAAGGAGGGAAAAATATACGCACAGACATACATAAACACACACATTTGGATATAGAAGTATATTTCACTAACAGGGACAAAGGAGGGAAAGAAGAGAAAGAAGAGGTAAGAATAAGAGGGAGGATGGATCAAGGGAGGGATAAGACCTAAGCAAAACAAATCTAACTAAAGATATATAGAAATATTCATAGTAAGCAGCTCTTTTTGCAGTGGAAAAGAACTACCCTTAGAGAGTTCACAATCTAATGGGAGAAGACAACAAACAAAAGAGAAGCTGAAAAGGAGTGGTGGTAGGGGTGAAACACCAGAAGAATACAGCCAGATGGGACATAATGAGATGGCTGCCCTGGGTGCCCTTTTGAAATGGAAGATCTAGGAGGAATTCTCTGCTGTCTCCGTTGTCCTCTCTCTATTCAGCAGACGGGAAGGGCCTCTAGGGCAGGGGAAACTGAGGAGACGTGATTTTTGGAACTGATATTACCTTGCAAGATTATGAGATTTAATTTAAAGAAAACAGAATGCACTAAAAGTTGTAAAATATCAATTCTATGACATGGGGAAGGCTGGTTTAGTTGTATCTGGGCATAATGAAAATCACTTTGAAGGGTGGAATGAAGTGGGGAGAAACTTGAGGCAGGCAGGCAGATCAATTAAGTAGCTGCTGCAGTATTTTAGGTGACAGGCAATGAGGGTCTAAATTAGGTTAGGAGCTGTGTGAGTAGTGAAAGGATCAGATGCAAAAGATGTTGTAGAGACAGAAATACATAAACACAAAGTAGCTGAACCTTTGAGGGTATGACAGTAATAGCAGAAGGAACCAAAAAAGACCTCCTGAAGAAGGGGCTGCTTAAGCTGAGTCTTAAAGGAAGCAAGGGATTCTAAGAATCTGAAGCTGTGAAGGGAAAGCATTCCAGGCATAGGAAAAACCAGCACAACAGCATGAAAACAAGAGATAAGAGTCTTGTGGGAGGAACAGTACATGGGACAGTTTGGCAGGAGTAGAATGTGTGGAAGGCAGTAGAAAGTAAGCCTGGATAGGTAGGAAGAGGCTTTGTTGTGAAGGGTTTTAAATGCCAAAGGGCTTTCTGATCAGGGAGTTAACAGGAAGCCATTGGAGTTTATTGAGGAGGAAGACAACATGGGTAGACCTAGGCTTTAGAAAAACCACTCTGGCAGCTATGTGGAGGATGGGTTAGTTAGAGAATGAAAAACTTTAGGCAGGAAGAACAATTAGAAGGCTGTCAGGGGAGGGGAAAAGTGAGGGCCTGAACTAGAGTGGTGGTTGCCCGAGAGCAAAGAAGGGGATAGATGTGTGAGAGCTGCTTCATAGAAAGAAATTTTAAGTTTGGCAATCAATTAGATAACATGGGGTGAAGAGTCAACAATAACACTAACATTGTAGACCTGGGCTAGTGAAAGTTCAATGAATACAGATCTCAAAAGACGGGAGAAATACTTTGACTGCAATGCACATGAGATAAACTTACCAATTTTGGTTAAGTTCATTATGAACCAACAATGTGGCCTCACAGCCCAAAAGGTCATTTAAACTTTAGACTACATTATCAGAAATATGTCTAAGACAAGTGAAGTAACAGCTCTCCTTAGCCCTAGAGAGACCACTTTTAAAAGTAATCTGCTAAATACATGGAACCAAAAAAAATAATAAAATTTTAAAAAGCAAATTTATGGAGTCACATTTTAGAAGAAACATGGACTAATTGGACTATGTCCACAAGAGATTGACTAGGATGGTGAGAAGATCTGGAAACTCACATGAAAAAAAAAAGGCTAACACCTAGAAAAGACTAAAGGAGGAGCCAATTACTCTACTAACTTAAAGTTACACAACATTTGTAGAATTTGCAAAAAACTTTCATCACAACAACTCTATGTAGTAGAGTAAATGTATTATTTCCCATGTTAGAGTTAAAGAAAGGATGGATCAGAGAAACAAGTGACAGGGTTCACAGCAGGATCAAGTTGAGGTCATCCCGAGGCAATCCCAGGGCTCTTTCCACTACAGGGCATGTGAAGTATTGTCCCCTACAAGAAGGATTAAAGCTTATTCTGCTGGGCTTCAGAGAGCAGAAACAGAATCAGGGAGTACCCAAGTATGAGATAGCTCTTAGTTTAACACAAAGAAGAACTTCCTAACAATAAGAACCACTGAAAATGGAATAAACTGTAAAATGAGGTAATAAATTCACAATGGAAATGCAGAAACAGCCGCTTTATCAGGAATGTTACACAGGGGGACCCACAAGATGAGAAGAAATTAGGCTAGAGAATGAATTTTAAGGGCTCTTCAAATTCTGAATTCTGTGGCAATTTACTGGTATGATCCTGCATTACATGGTTTTTAACAATCATTTTTTCTCCTATTCTGAATACTGTTCAAGTACTTATGAATTAATGAAGTAGTAACTTTAAAGATCACTGCCTTCCTTTTATTTTTTATTCAAGAAACAATGGATACTTGCTATATGAAGAAAATACCATATTGGTTCTTCTACCTCTATATTTTAAAAGCTTATATTATTACGACATTTTATCCCCCTCAAAACTGCATGTAGCTTTTATACTCTGCCTCAGCTCCTCTAAATGTGGACAAAGCAGCTGTTTTATTTTCTCTACACCAGTACTATTCAAACTCAACTCTGACCTAACATAACTGGCAATATTCTTTGTTTTAGGTTCTCTTCAATCACATAGCTACATTTGCCAATATTCTTTCTTCACAGTAAAGCACTGAAGAAACAAAAATACACTGAAGAAATAACAAGATGACCCATTAGGGGTGAAAAAGATTAAAGATGACTACCTTTGTCTTGTGCACAAAACACAATAGAGTAGTGCCTTGGAGAGACTAACACAGGACCAATGATGTATGTAGATGGCTTTCAGCATCTTATATCAATATAAAAATAAGACACGAATTTAGTCAAGTAGAAGGATCTGTATACCACTGATTTCTCAAAACAAAAGTTGGATATTGAGCAAAGCCATCCTTATAACATAAACTTCAAATTAATTTCCGGAGGCTGCATTTTAAAAAATCCATTATTACACCTCCTTTTAGATTTATTCAAGTTCCTAAAGAATGGTTAGTTTAAGGTACACTGATATATGAGGAAATATCCATGTGTGCTGAACTTTGTAAAGTCCATAATAATAAAAAAGAAAATTCTAAAAAAATCAAGTTCTGGCACCATAAAATGAGGAAGCAATTTTATTACTTAATCCCAAGACAATCTTGACAGTCAGCAACATGAAACAAAAGGACTGGCTAAAGATGCCACACCACCCCCTTATGGGGAACAGCTTTGCAGCAGCATCGTAGTCAATATTTACACAGCAGGTAAACACTTATTTTACATATATTAATTACTTAATCCTCACAACAACCCTCTGAAGTAGGTAGTTAATATCATTAAGTAGTTAACAGTTAATGTTATTCTTTTATAGATCAGCTAACTGAGTCAGACTCTGTTTCCTTACCCCTAAAAGGAGGGAGCTGGACTCAAGGCCCTCTAAGGTTCTTCTAGCTCTAAATCAGAAAGAATGCTAGACTTGAAGCCAAGAGACCTAGATTCAAAATCTGACTCTGACTCTTTTGCTGTTGACTCAGAACAAATTCATTAACCTCTCTGGGCTCCAGGTTCTTCCTCTAAGTGGGGATAATGACGTATCCACTATCTCACAGGGATGTTATGAGGAAAACATTTTGTAAACATTCAAGTGATACAGAAATGAATTATTATACTAACTGGCAGACTCAAGGAGTGAAGCTGTCTATTCCCTACAGAAGGGCAATCTTAGATGAAGGGCAGTTGGGCACAATTCCTAAAAGTTAAAAGTGGAGGAAGTTCTTCTACACAATCAGATGTTTCCAGACAGTTGGCGACCCCCTTTATTCCAATACAAATTCCAGATTCAGGTTTCCCTGGCCACAATGCTACGAGTGTTGCTGCTACCTCCAACACTAGTACCAGCTTACCCTGAAGGGCTGTTAGTAGGAATGGAAAAGAAGGCCATAAGGGCTGCTGATAAAAGTATGCAAGTTACCACGCCCACGTCCCACTTCCACAGTAACCACCTCAAAGTGAGGAAGCACAATAAATGGTCTTAAATGTCATCTTATCATTCATTTGCCACAGGTTGTGAACTTTCTCTCATAGATCATTAAATTTTTAATAGGACACAATAATAAAAGCACTTTCCAGGTAATAAACAGTTACTAATTATCTAAGTCATGCTACTACATTAGGAAAGAGGGCAGATATTGTCTCTTAGTTATAATACACAGAAACCATCAAAAGCGTTAAATAAAAGTTTAAAAATAAAACATGCACATTCACATACCTGTTGGTAAACTTAACACCATTCTTCTGGACATCTAACGTGTTAAAGTTTTTATTGCTACGAAGGACTTTTTCTTCCTTGCAGGTTACTCGGAAGTAATATCCCAGCTGTGCATTGGAGTCCAGTTTAATGTGTTTACCAGCTTCTAAGCCTTAGGATCAGGTGAAGAAGAGAAAGTAGACTTGAAATACATCTTTTTTTTTTTAACATAAATGTGTCAAATCATGAACATGAACCAAGACAAATATACTTTCAGTGTAAGACAGCAGCCTGACAAATCATCTAACTATAAAATTACTCAAATTCTTCTTCCCTTCCAGAACTACATCAAGACCATTAAGTCATATATGACTGCCTTAATTTCCTTTATTCAATTCAAAGATCTAATAAACACTAGCTCCAAATCTAGAGGCTGACAGATAGATCACTGTGAATGAATGAGTTCTCATGGGAATACTTCACAGTGGTCACAGATTTCTGTAATTGGCTGAGTTAACTCAACTGGTTGTTCACATTACGCTTATATCTGTGATCTGAGGAGCTTTTAGAAATTCAAATGATAAGACAAAATATCATACGTCATGGTCAAGGGGTTGAGTGTTTTCTTTTAGGGTTCATTCATGAATATACATTGTCAGATAGTCAAACCCATTCATTTTAAAGATATGGAAACTGAAACCCAGAGGGGTAGTGACTTGTCCAAGCAAGAGGGTATCAGGAAAGAGTTTACTGCTCAAGCATTCTAAGTCTTAGTCCAGTGCTCTCATCTCTGTGACATATTATCTCTTACCCTAAACTGGAATCTCCTCCAAAGCAGTACTTAATGGGATCTACGTCTTGGGTCTTGCCCCACCACCCATAATATATTGAGTTCTATACCTAGCCAGCACTCAGTTAATCTGACTTTATTCTCTGGTAGCATTGTATTGACCTGTCTAGATACTGTGGGTACTTCCCCAATGTCTGTTCACTGAAGACAAGAAATGGTGAATGGGGTATATAACATAAATGAAAACATTAAAAGCAGCTAAAGTCAAATTTATCAAATGATCAGTCTTGGCCCCAGAAAACAGAACACAACACATTTCCCTAGATGCTATATGTGAATCACAAGTTTAGAATGGTGTAACTGCTGTCAAATGTGGCCATTTTATCAATTTGGTTTGGCTTGACTATTTTTATGTTACAAGGGGTGTGTCTAACAGAGGGCAGTGTATACTAAGAAATGACTGTGGTATAAAAAAACCAAGCCATTTGTGGAACTTAAAAAAAAAAACCCCCCAAAAAAACCTGTTCTCTTCATAGTGATGTCAAAAGTATAAATTCCTAGAGTACAGTCATATGCAAACAAATGCTTAATACATTTTGGGTCTCACTTTAAAATTAATGCTTAGTTTATTTCACCAATGAGGGCTTTAAGCACATCATATATATCTGAGCAGTATCAGTCAAACATTTCGCATCTGATCAAAACACACTTATTTTAGGCCCCAGTGGCGAATGGTGTTCTAATCATAATAAGATGTTACTGTCTTGACTATACACACTATCATTCTTATTCAGTAGACAGAAGACAAGAATGGCTAATTATGATTTTCTACTTGGAAGACTTACTAATAAGAAAGATATACCACTACTTTTCAGTTTTTCAATTCTATAGACACGTCTTTATTCTACTTGGAAAAACTGTTGCTGACATTCATTCTTAAAATTCCCTAAGCTGATCAACTTGCCAAACTGGTAATACAAACTGAAAGCTGACACAATTAAGACACCAAAATAAAATACACACACACACACACACACACACCCAAAAGCAGACAAAGAAAACAAAACTGTCAGTGAAGCAGAGGTGCTAACACCTAACAAGCCCCAACTCCATAGTCCTAATACACTTCTTTCCCTCTTTCCATTTCTCTTGGGTTTTCCCATAAGCCCCGAACTACAGGTTCTGCTTAGGATTATAATATCAATTATCTGGCCTTGGATAGCAGTTTTGGAGTTAAAGCTGTACAAAATAAGGTTTCCTTATTATTAATCTTATAGGTGAAAATGCTATTTAGTATTTATATAGGACTTTAAGATTTATAAAGTGCTATACATGTTATCTATAATTAAGGGGAGGTAGAAAGGAACAGAGAAGGGACTGGGAAACATATAGAACTCTTCTGTTCCTAAATAATTGGAAATCTCTACTTCCTGCTTATATGCAAGAGAATAATTAAGTGAAATTTTGGTTTACTATATCTCTAAAGTTTGGGTTCTAATCTCCAATCTAATCTGGGCAGGTCATTCTATCCCAGGCTTCTTTACAAACCTTACTTTTAAAGATTCAACTTCAAGTGAAAAGAAGAATCATTTTAAGTATGTGGAACGTAAATAAAAATTGTATTTCACCTACACTGGGTTATAAGTTTCCTTCCATGCTGTATACTGATAGATTATAATTATATTTGTTCTTCCTATATATTAGAGATAAATCATAATATTTGTAGGTTGCAAAGATTAAATGCAAAACCACAGTGCTAAGACTTGGGCTTTTTTAAACTTAAATTTTGTTAATAAAGCAATCTCTTACTCAGATCTAAGCACAACATATAATCTGCATTGTTAATTATTCAGTATGAGGAACTACTACTAACTACAGTTTGGCTACATTATTCTAAACACTCTGAAATATAGTTCACCATCAATGACTTATCAACATTGGGAGATGAAAAGTGAGAGGAACTGAAAACTGCTTGTTCAAAAGCTAGAACTTTACTGAAAACTCTGCATAGAACTTGCAGTTGTTTCATCATAACACTCTGAAAATACCCCTGAAATGACTATGTCTGTTTTCTATGAGTTAACTTACAAGGTGGGCATTGGACACAGAGTAATAATCAGTCTGTTGGCTGAAAGAAACCAGTCAGGAGCCTGTAGTAAGCCAAAGTCTCGCTCACTCCCAGACCTCTTTGCTGGTGTTCGCTGGCTGACACTGCTGACTTGTGTCCCCACCCTCCACCCCCAAACTGGTCCAAACCAGCCACTCAGTCAACTGTAACTGCAAAACATCCTTCTTCTATATCCACCTGTTCCTTGGAAAGATCGTTCATTCTTTTTCCCAACCCCTTCCTGAACCTCTCCTTTGTGGTTTTCAAGCATCAATCTCCCCTGCTTCTCCTGGCCTGTGGCCTCCTTTGTGCTTTGTACTGCGGGCTTCCACACTAGTGTCTGATTTTCCTCCTAATAAAACTTTTCTGCTTTCAACTCAGCTTGGACTCCTCTACATTTTGAGGGGTGGGCTTCACTTTAGTTGGCAATATATACAAATTTCCACATACAGTCAAAAGTCAGTCTATATGGAGCCAAACCCCTCCCCCCCAAAAACAAGTCAGTCTCCTTTCCAATTAGGCTTTTAGGAATTGTTAAACTAATTCAATAATAAAAGGGAAAATGAATGGAAAAATAAAGCTATGGCCTTGACAATAATCAAAAGTACAATTAAAACTAAATTTGAAGGACTTCACCCTTTAAAGAATTTTAAGGTCTCTTCTGGAAACTATACTCTTCTCATGCAATGACAGCGAAAATTTTATAGAAGATGAAGAGTTATAAGGCCTGTGTCCCCTAGGTTATGATCATTACACCATTATAAAATGTCAGAGGAAATCATTAGCTCAGATGACTCCTGCCTAGACAAAGGAGGAGAATGGACAAGATGACCCATGGGTTTCAAGATCATGCATATGAGTGCTAACAAACAAGATGGAAAGGATAATGTATTCACTATATCCCCCACCTCTTGAAACAAACCACCAGTGAGCTCATCTCCTTTCATTACCTAGCTCTCTTGCTGCATTTGTTAAAGACGCCTGCATCTTCTTTTCTAGATTAGTAATTGACTCTCTTAACTCCATCAGGTGAGGATCAAAGGATGCCTTCACAAGAAATTCATGGTTTTCCACCTGTGAATACAAAAGAACGATGAAAACTGTAACTAAATGAAGGAGGTCATTAAGAATAAAATATTTTCCCATTACTAAATGGAAAGGCACTTCAGAAGCCATGGAATGTAGGGCAGTCGGGGTTTCAGAAAGATCTCAGTAAGCTAGAATGTTGAGATAAATCTAATAAGACACAATTTAACTGGGGAAATGGAAAGTCTTACTTGGTTTCTAAAAAAAATCAACTTTGTAACTACAACATGGGTGGAAGTATGTATGGTTCATCCAAAAGAGATGTGGGGGTTGGAAGGCAGTAGTCTATTATGGCAGCCAGGAAAACTAATGTGATCAGCTGTCTTCAGAGCCATGTTCTGGACTAGGGAGGTTATTTTTCTTGCTCTAATTTCTGCACTTGTCAGACTACTTCCAGAGTATTGTGTTCACTTCTGGGTTTAGGAATTACATTGAGACCAGAGAGCTTCCAGAGGAGAGTGGGCAGGATGATAAAGTATCCTCGGGATTCTCCTTTATAAAGATGGGATGGGGAACTGGCACCATTTAGGCTGAAAAAGATAGCCCTTCAGATACATGTGGAAGGGGAATCGAACTTACTCTGCTTGACCCCAGGGGCAGACCTAGCAACAATTTACCACATCTATTCTCATGGCCCTAACCCCAGTGGATTGCTCTGGTGATGTATCTTAGATCCACTTCCTATTCTAAAGCCCTCATTCCTATACCAAACTCTTGTGATAACTTGCTCAAGCCAACCTAAATCTGCTTATCTGCTTTTCCTCAGAAATTTGAATGAATCTTTGTTTAGGATTTATGTAACAAATGTTCCTATTAGCATCCATTTGAAATTTTCCCAACTTGATCTAGGAAGGAGACTTTTAACATTGTATTTATTTAAAACAGAGAAGGAAGCAGTCACCTTTCTCAAAGAAAAGAAAGGAAATTGTATCTGATCCAGTCCAGGACTGCCCTTTCTCTGGGGTTTTATACTCAGCATAAAGCTCTCCTTCTATCCTATATTCCCCATTAATACATACCTAATAAGCCTCTCACCTACACAAATTTATCGCACCCTCAATGCCACTTTGTATCTTACAAGAAGACACCTCTAAATTGCTCTCTAGTATACAGGATCCAGAGTCTGGAAGACCTTAGTTCAAATCCAGTCTCAAATACTTACTAGCTATGTTACCCTGGGTAAGTCACTTAACCTGTTTGCTTCAGTTTTCTCATCTGTAAAATGGGGATCATAACAGCACCTATCCTGTTAAGTTTTTGTGAGGATCAAAATAAAATAATAATTGGAAAGCATTTAGCACAGTGTCTGAAACTGTAAGCACTACAGAAATATACGTAAGCGCTGTAGAATATTCTTTTCAAATACTAAATATCATATTAATCACTTTATTTTTTACATAAGAATTGTTGCTGTAAAGTCTCATAGATGCACGGTAAAAATATGATCACTAAAATAGAATCCTAGTTGAAACATTCTTGTTATTCAACACAAATTTTAATATAGGTAGAAACATTGGTTAGTTATTAGCATTTATTAAGGACTTACTATGTGCCAGGCACAGTGCTAAGCAGCAAGCATACAAAGAAAGGCAGAAATAGTCCCTGTCTTTCAGAGAGCTCACATTCTAATAAGGGAGAATACATAAATGGGGACCTATGGGGTACATACAAGATAGAAGGAAGGTAAGCTTAAAGTGCAGCCCTTCTACATTAGGTATCATTTGAATGGCATCTGGAAAGAAACCTGAGATTTGAGAGGCAGAGGTAAGGTGGGAGAGCACTTTAGACATGGGGAACAGCCAGCAGAAAGGCATGGAAATAGGAGAGGGAATGTTCCTTCAGAGGAATGGAAGTAGGCTAGTATGGTTGGACAAAAAATATATGGAGTGGATAAAGGTGTAAGAAGCCTGGCAAACAGCATGTGAAACTTTTTTAAATGAAATGAAAGTCAAACAGTAAATTAAAAACAACTCAAAATGTATAATTAGGAATTATTAAAAAGGTATAATTAGGAAACCCAACTCTTACCCCGGCGGGTATATATATGCTTATCTAAGGAGAAACTGCTTTTTCCAGGGCAATCATGGAGACTAAATAACCAGGAAAAAGAGTATTGTTGTTTAAAGGACAGGTGTAGATGAATCCTTAATAGGAGCTATACTAGAACTGCTGCAGCAGGCACAAGTTGTAGATTCTTCCAAAGGTATGCTGAATTATATAACACCATCTGGTAGGGGAGGTAATACCATAACCACCAATGATTAGAGAGCAATTCCTGATACAGAAAAAGGGGTGAGGATAACACACACACACACATACATACATGTTGGAAAACCTAGATTCTGTACTTGTCTCCAATTCCTATCACAATCTCTCTGAAGCTCTTTAACGCAAATAACATGACTTAAAAGAATATGATATTGGGTCTTATCTGTGAAAAGGAAGTAAGCTGCTCATTTTATGTTACCTATAGTTCCTCATGAAACTATGACTGGGGGAGAGAACCAAGGTAGTGGAGAGAAGGCAGGGACGTGCCTGAGCTCTCCCCCAAACTCCTCCAAAGAGCTTAAAATAATGCCTTAAAACAAATCCCAAAAGGGCAGAAACCACAAAAGGACAAGGTGAAACAATTTTCCAACCCAAGACAACTTAAAAGTTTGGCAGTAAAGATCTGTCACACCAGGGTGAGAGTGGAGCACAGACCAGCAAACTAGGAGCAGGCTTTGAGAGTAAATGAGTCAGCAACGTCAACAACTGTTTCCAGAGCTTTCAGTCCACAGGTAAAAGGGGGCTGAATAACTGGTCAGAAGGAGATTACAGGGGTCTCTTTGCTGGCACTGAGGGCAGGACTCTGTTGCTGTGCTCATACAGGCTGCAGTCCTGGGTGGCAGTCCAAGGACAAGAAGAACACTAGCACAGCAGAGCTTGAGGCCACTGTGGAGCAGGGATCCTCATCATAGTTCCATGAAGAGAAGAGAGCTTGTGGTCACTCACAGACCAGAGCACAAGGCCAGGAGAGTGGTAAACACATTTCTCCCAGATCATACTATCTTGGAAGAACTGAAAATTTACAGATCCCTATAAGTATCTCTGAAAACAACTGCATAAAACCCCTGAAGCTTGGAACAGTATGCCGTCCACCCTGGAAGCAGAGCCCCATTTTAGCAAAGAGTGAAAAGTCAAGAAATAGGCTGGAAAATGAGTAAACAATAGAAAAAATTCAGACCATAGAAAGTTACTACAGTGACAAGAAAGATCAAAACACACACTCAGAAGACAGCAAAGTCAAAATTGCTACAGCCAAAGCTTCCAAGAAAAATATGAATTGGTCTCAGGTCATAGAAGAGCTCAAAAAGGATTTTAAAACTCAAATAAGAGAGGTAAAGGAAAAATTGGAAAGAGAAATGAGAGTGATGTAAAAAAAGAATCATGAAAAAAAGAGTCAATAGCTTGGTAAAGGAGGCACGAAGAAAAAACTAAAGAAAACAACATCTTAAAAAAAACAGAATAGGTCAAAGGGTAAAAGAGGCACAAAAATCCAATGAGGATAAGAATGCTTTGAAAAACAGAACTGGCCAAATGGAAAAAGATTTATAAAAATTCACAGAACAGAAGAACTCCTCAATAAGCGAATTGACCAAATGGAAAAAGAGGCACAAAAATTCACTGAAGAAAAGAACTAATTAAAAAATGAATTGGCCAAATGGAAAAGGCGGTCCAAAAGCTCACTGAAGAAAATAATTCCTTAAAAATTAAAATGGAGCAAGTGGAAGCTAATGACTTTATAAGAAATTAAGAAACAATAAAACAAAACCAAAAGAATGAAAAAAAGACAATGTGAAATATCTCATTGGAAAAACAACTGAAAGCCATGATCAAAAAAAGGGCCTAGATATCATCTTTCAAGAAATTATCAAGGAGGCTCTGGTTTTTAGAATCTAGCCAACAGCCCACAGATGTTCAGATTCCTTAAGAGTCTAGCTAATATGGCGAATCTTCAATAAACCTCGTTTTTGGCTGCAAGAAGGCTTGGGTTGAATTCTTTCAGGCAAGACCCGTGTGTTGTGATTTTGGGGTCCCAGCACCCCTGAACCTCTAAACCGCACCATTTTGGTGGCCTGTACGGGGAAAATGCCTAACCCAAGTTCTTCTCCAGCCAAGACTGGAAGGTATGTAAGCCTCCTCTCCCTCCCTTTCTTCCTCTGCAGTTGGGGTCGCTCTCTAAGCACCAAGGCTTGGAGGTGCTTTTCTGGCAGACAGTTACAAGGCTGTCCTGCACTTGGCCTGACGCCCTCAGGCTCTCAGTCCACTAGGTCGGTTCAAGGCTATGGACCTGGGACACTTTCCGCAGCATAGAGGGCAAGGACAGACAGCCTATCCGGAAATGTATCTGTTAATTCCCTTGGCGCTAGGGAATTGGGGAAAACTGCAGTTGCTTTTTGGTACCCTGAGGCTTCCTTACTCCCTTCCCTCTGCACCTCTGAATCCTCCTTCATGGAGGTTACAGGGAAAGTTAGAACAGCTAAAAATATCTTGGCATATTCTGGAGGTTTTGTGATTGATCATTAGGGAGTTCTGAATCACCTTTGATTTTGCCCTCTCTGACCTGGGAAAGGAAAGAGGGGCGAGGGGCAGCAGCTACAGCATGGGCCCCACTGGCAATGGCCTTGGGCTCTGGGACAAGCTTTGCCTGGAAGCATCACCCAGGTTCAGCACATCCTGCTCAAGGTAAAGAAGTTGGCCTCTGAACTTGGGTAAGCATGCTCTTTTAAACTTGTAGTTTTAATTGTTAATGATGAGATGCTGAGTCTCTGTGTAAAGTAATTTGGAAGTGCATTTAACAAAACTGAAGTCACCTGATTGGTAATGGGTTTGTTTCAAATCAGTTATGTCAAGCAACTTTTCATAATTTGGTTACTGCTAAAATAATTTAGCTATTGTTGGTTATTGTTTTAATGTGTAAACTAGCCAAAAAGTTTGTTTGGGTTATGTATGGCTTGCTGAAAATTTGCAAATGTATATAAATCTCTGATTGGCTTTTTATACCGGGACAAATTTAAGTTTGAGATGTAAATCTTGGAAAAGTTTTTCCTAAGCTGTGATTAGTAAAACTTGCTGTTTGAGATAAAAGCTTTTATTTTAAAAATAATATTTTTATAATAAATAAATAAATAAATTTATTTTAAAATAAAAGGATTTTGAGTTGTCTGATGAGTCATAATCCATCAATAATTAATAATCCACCATCTGAGAGAAATGCCACAAGCTACTCAGAGAAGGTGATACTGGTGGGAAGTCATCATTGGGAAAAGCTGAGAGGGCAATTTTAGCCTCAGTCGAAGATGGGATCCTCCTGGCTCAGTTTCCCCATGATGTTCCTTTGAAAGGGAATGTTACCCACCTGGCTATTCCTGAGTCTGGCTATGAGGTGGATTTGATACTGCATGGTTGGAAAACTGAATTATCTGAATCCAAACAGAGCTAAGGATGTTTTATCCTCAAAGCTGGGCCCTAAATCTAGTCCCTGCTTTATATCTGGGCCCTGCAGTTTTTTCCTGTCAGATTTGTGTCTTCCAGACTACAGGCCATTCATCTACAGTTGGTAGCAAACAACAGGTACCAGCCAATGTCCCCCCATCATTCCCTGGATGCAGCCTGTGCTTGGTTCCAGTCAACCTCCTCTTTGGGACCCCCTGGAGGCAGGGACAGCTTTACGTCCCTTGCCAGCAGGAAGCAGTTTCAGAAGCCGAGACCTTCACCCCTTACCCCAAAAGAATTTGGGTTCCTATTTGTTTGAAGGGGGAATGATGGGGTTGGGATCTGAGCCCCAGAAAGGAAAAACCCTGAACTTTCCCACATGGCCAAATCTGGCCTCCCCCTGAGGCTATAATTCCATCAACTGGCCTTTCATTGTGGCTACACCCAATCTCCCCTCAATTGTCTTACCTCCCTATGGCCCCTGGCCATTTCCCACCCTTAATCCTAGGTAGGCTCCATTCTTCCCTTGGCCTTGTGGTCCAGGTTCCTGGAATTCTATTACCTCATAGACTACTTGGCCACTCCTAGATCCCTCCCACAGTCTTTCTGTATATAAGGTCCATCTTGTCTCCATTAAGATCCTCTGATTCTTAGAATCCAGCCAATAGCCCATAGATGCTCAGATTCCTTAAGAGTCTAGCTAATATGGCAAATCTTCAATAAACCTTGTTTTTGGCTGCAAAAAAAAAAAAAAACTATCAAGGAAAACTACCCTGATAGTCTAGAACCAGAGCATAAAATAGAGAGTGAAAGAATCCAATGACCACTTCCTGAAAGAGATCCTAAAATGAAATGAAAACTAGGAATATCATAGCCAAATTCTAGAGCTCCCAGGTTAAAGAAAAAACATTGCAAGCAGCCAGAAAGAAATAACTCAAATAACTCAAATATTGTGGAGCCATAGTCAGGATATCATAAGATTTAGCAGCTTCTACATTAAAGGATCAGAAGGCTTAGAATATGATATTCCAGACGGCAAAGGAGCTAGGATTACAACCAAGAATCATCTACCCAGCAAAACTGAGTATAATCCTTCAGGGGGAAAAAAAATGGACATTCAATGAAATACAGGACTTTCAAGCATTCCCAACAAAAAGACCAGAGCTGAATAGGAAATAGGACTTCCAAATACAAGACTCAAGAGAAGCATAAAAAGGTAAACAGGAAAGGGAAACCATAAGGAATTTAATAAGATTAAACTGTTTACACTCCTACATGGGATGATATTAAGAACTTTCTTATTATTAGGGCAGCTAGATGTATATAGACAGGGCACTCATGTGAGTTGAATATGATGGGATGATACCTTTCAAAATTAAATTAAGGGGGAAAAAAGAAGAATGCAATGGGAGAAAGGGAAAGGGAGAAGCAGAATGGAGTAAATTATCTCACAAAAAAAAGAGGCAAGAAAGAGCTATTACAGTGGAGGGGAAGATGAAGGAGGTGGGAACCTCACTCTCGTTGGATTGGCTCAAAGAGGGACAACATACACAATCATTTGGGTACAGAAATCTATCTTACCCTGCAGCAGGCCTGCACAACCTAAGCCCCACCAAAGGATTTCCTCTACATCTTCCTTGGGCTACCTGAAGTCCTTTGGTGGACCAGAGGTTGTCCAAGCCTGCCCCACCGGAAAGTAGGAGGGGAAGGGGATAAGAGAAGGAAGGTAGAGAGAGAGAGGTTAACAGTCAAAAGTAAAACACTTGAGGAGTGACAGGGTGAATGGAAAGAGAAGAGAATTAACAGGGGGAGAAATAGGATGGAGAGAAATACAGTTAGCAATCATAACTGTGAAAAAAATTTTAAAACAAGTTTCTCTGATAATGGCCTCATCTCTCAAATATATAGAGAACTGAGTCAAATTTATACAAATAAGAGCCATTCCCCAATCGACAAAAGATCAAAAAATATGAACAGTCAGTTTTCAGGTGAAGTAATCAAAACTATCTACAGTCATATGAAAAAGTGCTCTAAATCACTACTGATTGGAAAAATGCAAATTAAAACAATGCTGAGGTACTACCTCAGATCTATTAGATTGGTTAATAAGACAGAAAAGGAGAATGATAAATGTTGGAGAGGGTGTGGGAAAACTGAGACACTAATTCACTGTTAGTGTAGTTGTGAACTGATTCAAACACTGTGTAGAGTAATTTGGAACTATGGCCAAATATTTATAGCAGTTCTTTTCTAGTGGCAAAGAATTGGAAATTGAGGGAATGTGTATCAATTGAGAAATGGCTGAACAATTTGTGGTATATGATTATGATGGAATACTATTGTGATACAAGAAATGATTAATTACATGCCCTCACAAAAAGCTGGAGAGATTTACATGAACTGATGCAAAGTGAAATGAGTAGAACCAGGAGAACACTGTACACAGTAACAGCAATACTGTAAGATGATCAACTGTGAATGACTTAGTTATTCTAAGCAATACAATGATCCAAGATAACTCTGAAGGACTTTATCATGAAAAATGTTATCCATCCCCAGAGAAAGAACTAATGGAAAAGAACTAATGGAATCTAAATACAGATTGAAGCATACTTTTTTATCTTCTTTATTTTTCTTGAGTTTTTATTTTGGTCTACGTTTTCTTTTACAAATAACTAAAATGGAAATATATTTTGCATGATTACACATATATAATCTATATCAAATTGCTGCCTTCTCAATGAGGGGGTGGGAAGGAAGGGAGAGAATTTGGAACTCAATTTTAAAAATGAATGCTGAAAGCTGTTTTTACATGTAATTGGAAGTAAATAAAATATTAAATTTAAAAAATTAAAGAAACTATGAACATAAGAAATTTTGTTAAGCTGCATCAGAAAAAGAGATATTAATCTACCTCTCATCATTGTAACTATTCAACTTCATTAAAACTCTAAGAAAACAAAAATCCGTATGTTAGTTAGAAACCTCAGAGAATACAGATTAAAAAAATAAATACTATGAGAAGAGCAATGTCCTTTGGGTACTTCAGACTATACTGAATAATTCTGCTTTTAAAAAAACCTCACAATATCTTTACAGAGAAAAAAAACAGTTAATTCAAATCTTCCTACTCAACAAGAAAAAAAAACTGAAATGGATACATCAATTAGCAGATCAAAATGTTGTCATATCTGAAAACAAGAGGATGAATGTCCCACAGGCTCATTTCAAAGAGGTAATTATATAAAAGAACTGTTTTTTAAAATGTCAAACCCCTTAGCAATTTTAACATCCTATTTCTTTTAAATATACCCTGAAGTATTCCATGTGAACATATTTTAAAAGCTATAGAACAAAATTAATTAATATTCAATAAAATGTGCTTCTGTTTTAAGTTAATGCATGTGGAGAATATGTGTAGCTTAAAGGAATATTCTTTTCAAATATTAAATATCTTATTAATAACTTCATTTTTACATAAGAATTGCTGATGGAAAATCTCACAGATTCAGGGTAAGAAGATGATCACTAAAATAGAATCCTAGTTGAAACATTCTTATAATCCAATGCAAATTTTAATACTGGTTGAAACATTTCCAAAATCAGTTTGGTTTTCCTACTTCTGTTTTCAACAGTATTTAAGGACATCTATGCCTTGCACCTATCTAACAAAATACCCAGCATTCCACTGAAAAGAAACAAATGAGTTCATCCTCTCCTAAGTATTCTTCCTTCACATGTATCTCCACTATTCCTTTGTACTCAATATTCTATACACTGGCTTTCTAATATTATTTTCTTTTTTTTCTAATTAGAAAAAAAATCCTCTATCACAATCTGAGATTTCTGATAATGAAATCTGCTACATCAATGACACCCAACTCTTATTTACTTTTCTGGTTTCTGTATAACTGATATCTTTTAAAACAACTCTGCCACTAAAAGTAATTTTTCCCCAACTATAGTTTAATCATCTTAAATGCTTTGGATAACAACCAACACTCAGAAACGACAAAATCAGCTGCTGGAAAAACAAAAATTGTTCAAAATATTCTGTTTTTTATTTGCGAAACTATAATGCATACCTGATTCATATCTAAGGTTGTTTCTATCATTTCCTGAAACTTGGAGAAATCAGAATGTAGATCAGTCAAAGGAGTTACGAAGACTGCCAATAACAATGATTGGTGTGCTCCTGTAAGTAAGAGAGGAAAAATCGTTTCTTTAGAGAAAAAATAAAACACAAAGAACAGCATGAACCATAAAAAAGTTAATATAGTAAGAATCACATGGCAATGGTAATAATAATGCACATCTATATAGCTTTTAATAGTTTACCAAGCAATTCTTCAATACTACTGTGGAGATAGTATAAATATTATTGTTCATTGTTTTACGGATGAGGAAATTGAGGCTCAAAGAGGCTACTAAGTAACTTGGCCACAAATAAGTAATAAGCAGCAGAATCAAGAATCCGATCCAGGTCTTAGGATTCTAAACCCTGCCTCATTCAAATGGAATTCAACTCTGTGAGCAGGGCCATCTTAAGGTTTCAGTCAAGTTATAACAATAACCTCAGATATTTAGTAAGGACAACTTGAGAATGGTGATGAAAAAGCCAATTTTTATTTCTCTTCTAACATGTTCTATATCTCTCCTCTTTCCCTTACTTCCTATATTCAATCGGCTACTAAGTCTTATTGATTCTATCTCAACACCATCTCAAACATCCGGCTCTCTTCTTTCTGTCCCCATTGCTGGATCTCAGTACAGGTTCTCATGGACTCTTGTAATAGTTTCCTATTTAATATTACTATCTCCAGCACAGGACCAAAAAAAAAAACTTCCTTATGCAGAGCTCTGGTGATGTCACTTCAATTCTCAAAAATCTCAAATAAAGTCACATTCCTAATCACGGCATCAAATGCCCTCCACATCTGAAACCACACTACCTCATCAATGACTATCATATAGTAAGCATTTATAAATGCTTATAACTTCATCTCTTACCACTTCTCTTCACATGCTTTTCCAGATAAACTGAATTACTTATCCCCTATTTCCCCAAATGCCTCCAGGATTTGGCTCATGTGATTCCAAATGCTTAAAATGTCCTCTCCATTCTTTCTCCATTTAACCAGATCCCATTTGGTAATGGTCTTTAACCTTTTTAGATTTCACATAATATTTTGCTCATCTTTCACGTATCATATTCCACAATTACAGAATATAAGTCCCTCAACAGAGATCATGTTTTTGTTAAACATCTTATTTCCTACAAGACAAGGCTCTGCACAAAGTAGACACTGTCATGTAAATCTGAACAATTTGTTCAGCTACAGTTCTTCATCTGTAAAATAAAGGTTTATACTCAAATGAACTCTCTTAAGGTCCTTTCCAATTCTAATGATTCTACTGTCCTTAAAAAGCTCACAATCTAGAAGCAAATGTGTATTGTATAATCAAAGTAAAAACTACATTTAATGACACATAGTACAATTATTTCTGGGGACAAAGAAGGATGATGAAAATAGGAAGGAAATAAAATTGAAGAAAATAGGATACTTCTTACCATACTTCAATAACCACAATAATAGGTACTTTACTATCGCCGTGGACTATCTTTATGCTAAACTAAATAAGCAAGAGTTTAAATGGCCAATAACTGTAGCTGCTTCCTGACATTAAACCAAGTGTTAAACACTTAACAAAAAGAGAAAAACTCTTTTCCCACTACCACTAGCATATACATAATCTACTGGTTTCCAAAAGCACACAAAGAAAGCACACATGTATAGTCAGTAGAGGCTGTAATATACAGTCAAGATTTGTGGCAGGGGTTCTAAGAAATACAAATATGTCTAAAAGTTAGGACCACTTGTATGTACCCCTACTCTAGGACTGATATATCTATACCTCTGAAGAACATGCTCATTAACATTCTGTTTAGATATGTGAAGAATAAAGGTTCTCAGTTTCATTGTGGGGGGAAAAAACACCTCATAAAAGAACTTAAAGGATGCTTGTAAACAGCAAATCCCCATAACATTCAAAATTATTTTGCCTGCCACATAGTAAGTACTATATAAGTATTAGCTATTATGAACTAACATTAATTAACTAATTAGGAGAGCACAGAAAAAAAATCATGTTCCAGGTACTGAATCTCATGAGGAAGTAAGGACGCCCCAAGTTCAAATCCATCCACAGACATTTACTAGCAATGTCACCCTAGACAGGCAAACCTATTTGCTTCAGTTCCCTCATCAGTAAAATGGGGATAATAATAGCTTCTCAGGGTTGTTGTGAGGATCAAATGAGATAATAATTGTAAAGCATTTAGCACAGTGCCTAGCACATAGTAAGTACTATACAAATGTTAATAAGCTAAACAGCTTGGATATTAGACCCTCAGAGATATCTGATACAAAGATTTTCCCCCCAATTAACAATTCCCCTTTTTATCCTGGCTGCATTGATTTTATTTATATAAAACCTTTTCAATTTCATGTAATCATTGTTATCTATTCTAGCCTTTCTGATCTCGAGCTTTTGTAAGGTTAAAAATATTCCATTTATGAACTGATCCATATTCCTGTGTGTGTGATACGACTTTCTATATTTAAACTGAGTATCCATTTGGAGTTTATGGTGATAAATAGTTTCTATACTTATTTTTGCCAAACTGCTTTCTAGTTTTCCCTTAAGTTCTTGTGAAATACAGACTTCTTCCCCAAGGAGTTTCTTCTCTGCTTTACATACAACTTTTCAGAAACAAAAACATTCCATAAAGTACACAGTCCCCTCTAACTTGTCTTCCCCAAATAATGGCTTAAGTCCAAAGAGACCAACTGCAATATTAGCTAGAAAGATTAAGATCTTCTCTGACTAATATAACTATCTAATGAATGGATTTAGCTAAAGTATGGGTTCCAGATGAACTTATGTAGAATACAAATACAAATTTTTGTTGTTGTTCAGTAGTTTCAATAATGTCCAATTTTTCATGACCCCACTTGGGGTTATCTTGGCAAAGATACTGGAGTAGTTTGCCATTTCCTTCTCCAGCTCATTTTGACAGATGAGGAACTGAGGCAAACAGGGTGAAGCGACTTGTCCAGGGTCACACAGCTAGTAAATGTCTAAGGCCAGATTTGAAGTCAGCAAGGTGAGTCTTTCTGGCTTCAGGACCAGCAGCACTCTAATCCACTATACCACCTAACCACCAATAAATACAGATTAGCATATATCACAATATGCTTATTTGTAAACTGCCACACATGTTGCTTTACAAATAGCTAAATAAGACAGGCACGCATAGGTCAGTAGAATTGAAAACATTTCATGTTGATAAGATGACGTAAAATAAGGCAAGAGCTAGCAGTTAAAGTAATAAGATAATAGGATACAAATAAGTGTCAACACAAGAAAAAGTCTACTAATTGGCTGATTACTAATAAAAAATTACATGGGTGCTCTTGTCATACATAGAATAACAATCCTCCATGCTAGGTCTATTGTTTGAATAACTGTTGTGACCAAAATAATTGCTATGTCCAACTTTCTGGTGATGAGCTTCTCATATTTATCTCTGCTAGCCAATATAAAATGACACAGTCACGGGGCCCTATTTTAAGCCTGGCTGACACACTGGCAGATCTTGCATTCCACTAGTATTACCTTCACAATATGATAAAGCATAAGAAGGGGAGACCAATGACACAGAGATAGAAGAGCATTAGAAATCCTTTATCCCTTCTTCCTACTAATAACACTGCCACCAACAAGGTGAACAATCTCCAAACCCACAAAACGTACTACAATTGCCAGCCTCACAAACTGACATACCACAAGACGGGGGCAAGGGCTCCCTATGTGCTCAGGGGAAAAGGCACTAACAGCCTGGCTATAGTGGTGAAACAAAGCCAACCTTCCCCCCAAAAAAGGGCAAGACAGCAAAGACTGTATTGAATCTTGAATGGACTGAGCACAACTGCAGATCTAAAATGATGCTGGCCACCAAGTGATCTGAAGAGTGTGAAGTGATGATACATGAAAAGAAAAGCCAAGTAATCTAGCTTTAAGTTTCATCCTTTTTGTTTTTATAACAAAAAAGGCAACTAGGTGGCCCAGTAAATAGAGTGCTAGACTGGGAGTCAAGGACATCTGAGTTCAAATCCAATCTCAAGCCACTTAACTGGTTGTGTAGTCACTTCACTTGTCTATCTCATCTGTAAAACAGGGTAATTATAGCACCTACCTCCCACAGTTGTTGTGAAGAGAAAATGAGATGTTTGTAACTTATCTTTCAAATCTTAAAGCACTATATAAATGCCAGCTACTGTTATTGTAATAAAAAACTATTAAAATGATTAAGCTATAAAATTTATACTCCCTGGAATCATGTCTGTTACTCTGGAAGGAAAAAGCCTGAGTAAACCAAGCCAAACTATGTGAAGCTTTTCCCATGAAGGAATCATACTTGAACACATGGTTGAGTATATATAACCTTGATCTAATACTGAATTACATTTGAATGTGATTCATTCACACAGATGTGTGCTAATGAATCTTACTTCAAAATCTTCTGTCATTCATTAAGCCCAAATTGGGGATTGGGGGGAGAGAAGGGTGGTGGCTGCCAGTACTATTATTAAAAGCAATTATTGACGTCAGTGTGCTCAGGGAATTTGGGAGGGGTAAGAGGGATGCAGAGTAATCTCTGCATAGAAATACTTAAAAGTGACTGAAATACAAGGCAGTAGGTCATTAAAGTGATGGCCTTTTAATTGAGAGAAATACTGATTGCGTTATGTTGTATGGGGTAGAGAGAAGTCACTAACCCTACAATATAAATTTATTTTACTGAGTGGTTCATTTTACTATCATACCCATAACAAATTGTAACCTCCACGAGGGCAGGATGTCTGCCTTAAATTTTGTACATGATTTTCCCCAGCACCTAAAACAATATTCTTAACACAAACATTAATGTTTGAATTAAGGAACAAAAGAGATCATTCAATCTAATCTGCTAATTTTTAAAGATAAACAAACTAAAACTCAGAAAGGTTAACTAAATAAAATTATAAGGGTGAAGTCAGAGATTGGAAATCTAGGACTTGCACAGACAATTGACTACAAATTTAAGGGTAACAAATATCACATAGCAAAAAAAGTTGTGAAATATTTTCC